ATGTTAACCCCTAGGAATCTCGCGAGTCTAGCGATAATTGAATTGAATTTATTTAAAAGATCATAGGCTCCAAGTCGAGCCCAATAGACCGAGTACATTTTAGGGATATACAGGGTGTCTCAAAAGTCGGGGAGGAGCCGGAAATGGGGGGTAGCTGAGACGATTCTGAACAACAATTTCCTTTGCAAACATATTGTCGGAGGCTTTGTTAAGGAAATATTAAAAGAAAACCCCGACCAATCAGAGCGCGCGTAGACCGTTGGAGCGGCCGCGGTAGCGAAGGCTACGAGCTAAGCGGTCGCGCTTGTACGCGAACAAGTGACTCGACGTGCATCGAAGGACATTGACGCTGCCGCCTAGCGCGTAGCCTTTGAACAATTGAACAAAATTGAAAACTTTGCGCGCGTTCGCTCGTTCCACGGTGGTTCCGTGTAAAGGGTGAAGATGTAATCGTTTACGCGAACGAATTTTATCGCCAATACGTTCCGCGTATTCCTCGATTAGTCCCGTGATCGAGCCACGCTTAAATTACCGTCTCGCGACCGCGCCTCGCGCGTCGTTCGGTTATCTTTAACTGTACCCCTCGATTTTATAATTTGTTACATATTATGCGAGCCCGGCGCAGGAACGACCGTAGTAAATCCCGTGTGCTGTTGACCCGACGATCGCTGGACCGAGACCAGCCAGCGGACCCGTGCCGTAGATATCCGCGAGGAGGGTCAGCAGGAAGCAATTAAAGTTTCGACAGAATCTCCTTGGTTTAACGTTACATCGTTCCGTCGTAAAAAAAAAAAAAAAAAAAAAAAAAACATACGAACGCGAGACGGTACACGATTTCGCGTCCTTCTCCCTTCCGACGATCACCTTTCGATCGACTTTTCGTAATATCGTTATTGCGAGATAAACTGTTTGGCTAGTTCCAACCGGAAAACAGGAAGATACGAGCTCCGATCGTTTACGCGTAACGAGTCGGAGAGTAAATAAAACGCCAAGAACGAGACGGATGGAAACGGTGTAACATCGCGAGACGACATTGTGACGCGCGAAACGGGGATTGACCCTATCACCTGTAATCGTCAATTTTTTACGAGGATCGAGCATCTTTCTATCGACCTATCGTTAAAATGATGTCATTACGCGAACGCGAAACTGTTAAGTTTAATGGAAAACGATTCTACGCGTTTTGATGGCTCGTAATAAACTAAGGTAACAGTAAACGTTATTTCGTTTTACGATTGACGCGGTTCCTCCCTGTAAGGACAGGTGCGCGTTACCTCGTTCCGCGATATCGAGCAGCGTTAATCGTAATCGCGTTAATCTCGCCGAGATTAAAGGCGACGAGTTGAAAAAAGAAACAAAAATCTTGGATAACGATTAACCGTTAACCTTTTTTCTATAATCGTTCGATCACCGGAACGATAAGCCCGGGTGGTCGTCGGTATTACATCAACCCTTACGGTACGAGCGCCGGATATATCCGGCATCCATCTAATAACCTTATATGTGTTACTTATATAATTACATGCGCATTTTGCGGCGCGGCGGCTCGTACATCGGGAATATCGCGGCGAACAGAGCGCTCGTATCGAAAGGGTTCAAATCGAACGGTTCAAATTTCGAATGATCGTCGAGTGAATAATCGGAACGTTCGCATCGTCTTTTGTCGACAGAGTTCGTAACCGGCGCGTGTCCCCGAATATGCCCGCCGAGTGGAGAACCGGTGTGCGGTAGCGACGGAGTGATCTACGCGTCGCAGTGCGAAATGCGGAAGAAGATGTGTGGAAAGGGTAAGCTCGCTTTTAACCATAACAATTACAATTACAGTACACGCCGGCGTGTAACGTCGGTGATTATACAGTTGCTTTACAACGTCCGTCGGAGTGAAGCGCATCGCAGCCCGCCATCAGGGACATTTCGTTTCCTCGTTTAAAGCGCTCGAGCCGTGCTTTAAATCCTACTACACGGACGCCCGTTAATGATAATCTATTAGCGCCGAGCGCAACGGGTTTCGCGCATCGAAGTCTCCGTTCATCGAAACTCCGACCATCGGACCCGGCCGGCAATTATCGGTGCTTTACAAATTGCATAGGCGTGACCATGGCTACGGAGAAGACCGCTTGCCTGAGGTCATCCGGTAGCAAGTGCGAGCATCGTTGCCCCGGCGATCAGGATCCGGTATGCGGCACCGACGGTCGCACGTATCTAAACAAGTGCATGCTGAGGGTCGAGGTATGCAGAGTCGGGATCGAGCTGTCGCACCTGGGCCCCTGCAACAACATATCGGCGCACAGAGAGAATTGTCCGGTGTCTTGCGAATTCGCTCCGTTAGACGGACCTATCTGCGGAAGCGACGGGAACGTTTACAAGTCCACGTGCCAAATGAAACTGCTCACCTGCGGGTATGTAACCTTTTCGATACACTTACGATACATATATTTACTTCGATGGAGATACGGACCGCGAAGCGATTAAGCTTCGATTTGTAAAGTCAGACCGATCGCACGCGGGCGCAACCGATCAGTTTCAAAACACTTTGAAACCTAGTTGCATGCGACCGTGGATCTAGGTAAAACAAAGAGCGCAAATGCGTTGCAACGCTAATTTCAAATCGGTTCCGCCCGTGTGCGATCGGCCTAATTCGTTACCTTTCAACTATTATTCTCCATCTTATATCCAACGTTAAAACATACCTGTGCATCGTTGCGATCGTAGACAAGGCGTAGTACGTACGAACAAAAAACACTGCCAGACCACCAGACACTGTCGCGAATCTTGCTGGCGCGGTGCCAAGCCAGCCTGCGGCAGCGACGGAATCCTCTACTCGAATACCTGCAAAATGCGTGCGAAGAACTGCGGGTAAGTAGCGCTTCGAATCCTTGAGAAAATTCTGTCGGGTCGACCGCACGCGACTCGGTGCTCGCAACAAACCGCGCCCGTCTGGTTTTTCCGTGACACGTGAGACTCATCGATCGGTCGTTTAGCAAGCACGTGTTCGAGGTGCCGATGTCGTTTTGCGTGTCGCGGGAGCGCACCTCCGGCAGCCAATCGAACGCCTGCCCCTTGGACTGCAAGAACGAGCCGGACGGACTGATGTGCGGATCGGATGGGAATATATACAGAAACGACTGCGAGATGCAGATGCTTAATTGCGGGTTGGTTCGAATGAAAATATTTTGTCAAGGTAAACGTGCTCTCGTATTCGTCAGTTCCTTTCCTTTTATTTCTTCATTCTTTTGGCGGCACAGGAGCATATTGCGGCTCTTTTGTTTAACAGAGGTTGATAACGATCGACGGACAGTCGGTAGCCTGGAGGATCTCGCGGGGTTCGATCGTTTCCAAAAAAATACATTTTTGGAATTTCCGGAATCTCACAATTAATTTTACGCGAGTATTCGAACCCTGAGAATCGCAAATACTGACGAATGCGAATAAATATTGTACATACCTTGTCATACCTTATTCTCGGTGCGGTAGTCGAGCGTCCATCTATCGTTAAACATTTATAGACAGGCGAGGCGAAAGGTGACGAAAGTGGACTTCGAGAAGTGTCAACCGCGACTGACCAAATGCATGAAACAACAGCAAAGATGCGGGAACGACGTAGACCCAGTTTGCGGCAGCGACGCGACCTCGTATCCGAACTCCTGTCATCTGAACGTGGCCGCCTGCCTGTAAGTATAATAATACCGGTTCGTCTTTGATAGCTTCGGAACTTATAAGCATATTTTGCGACGAACGGTCGTTAACGATACACCGATCACGAGTTAACCGTTGTCGTTACGCGCGGGTTTCAGAAAGGGCATTCAATTGGCTCACGTCGGCGAGTGCACGACCTTGAAGGAGACCGAACACTGCCCCGAAGACTGCAGCGAGGTGCCCGAGGAACCAGTTTGTGGAAGCGACGGGAACGTTTACCGGTGATTAAGAGCGTTATTTGGATTCCGGGACGTCCGGCGCCGAGAGTTTTAAGAGCGCGTGAATCACGAATATAGTAGTCGGTCGTTAGAACCGATTCAGCTTTCAAACCTCTCTCAACCGAGTCCTGCCTTAAGACTGCCCCAGATCCTTCCCGGTACTCGACGTCCTGTTTCGTCGATAGCCAAACGAAGAATTCCTTCAACGAGTAGCGGCTCGAACAGATTCCATCCGTACTTACTACGAACCTTATCGAAAATAAAGATCGGCCCGGAGAAATTTCTGGCTCGCGGATGCTTGACGAGTGTGTAATTGTTTGCGTCCAGGTCCCTTTGTCATCTGCGCCGCGAGACATGCGGTCAGAGGGTGGTTCAAGTTCCAGCACAGCACTGTCGTACCACCGCGCTTTGCAACCAGATCTGCAGCGGGGAACGCCAGTTTGTTTGCGGTTCCGACAACAAGCTCTATCGCAACGAGTGCGAGATGAAGAGGGACAATTGCGGGTGAGCGTCAATTGTGTTTGAAATTACATCTTGCGGCGTTTACACGCTTCCGTGGGTAAACGGCAGCTATTTTCGATTATTAAACATAATAATAACCCGGTTACTCGAGGTAAAGGACTGAGGTCGACTGCCGAGTCGCCGGCCGTAGTAGCCGGGGAAATAAGAAAACGAACGAATGAATAAACAAACCTTCGTTTCTTGTTTTCTATCTGTCGCGCAGGAAACACGTATACGTGGTGCCGATGAAGAGATGCGTTCAGGGCTTCTTATTCCGGGGTTGCCAAAAGATTTGCCCGCCCTACTACGATCCTGTTTGCGGCACGGACGGCATGACCTACAGCAACGAATGTTTCTTGGAGATCGAGAACTGTCGCAGTCGAAGCCTGGTGACGAAAAATTATCACGGAGTGTGCGGCCAGCCAACGGAGGAGCCCAAGAATTACTTGTACTAGATCGATCGATCGATTTCCATTTGTACCAAAATCACTGTCGGAAAAACCACTCTTACGAACGCGTTGACGATTTCAAAACGACTCGAACCGAATATGTGTTAAAAAAGAAGGAAAGCAAAAAAAAAAAAAAGGATCGAGGATAAATTCCTTCGAGTCGTCCTTCCGTTCGTCTTGAAAAGAACTTATTGTTAGCCTAGCTTGGTGGGCATGATGCCCGTTAATCGGCTGCGAACAAGATATCCGGTTGACGCATACGTTCGTCTCGTTATATGTAAAACACAATTTTCTCTTAAAAAGAATAAGTTCTTGGCTATTTTCTCCCGCGATATTTCTATTGTTTTTTTTTTTTTTTTTTTTATTTTAAATCGATTCGTAGCCAAGAAATTACTCTTTTTACAGTCCAAATTCTGTCGAAAATAAAACGTTCCGAACTTATGCACCAACTAAATAGTCGTCGTTGTATTCGTCGCAGACAATCTCTCGTCGCGACCGTCGTCGATTCGTTGACGAATTCTCGTACGGTCCGTCCGCCGGATTATCGATTGAACCAAGACCGTAATTAACGGATCCAAGTCAATTTTCTATCGAACGTGCTCGACATTTTTAGCGATCACGTTCACGGGTGCCCATGGAGATTCGAATCCTAGTTTTTTCGGGCAGCCCAGATTTCTTTCGGTGTTTTAAATTTAAACTAACGAGGGAATCGTATGTCGAGGAAATCGTTCGTTTCCGCGTTGTTCCATCGATATTTTCGCTACGTGCTCGTCGATAAAATCTTTCTTATTTATTGTAGTATTATTATTATTATTAATTATTCCATCATCTTTGCATCATTTTGTTTATCGCTATTGCTATGGTAACACGATAGTTCCATACGAACCCTTACTCTAACTCTAAGGAAATATTTAGCTATTACATCTTCCCCTCTGATATGTGATGTGCGTTTATATTATTATTATCTCTTGTCATCGTATCCTTAATTTATTATCAAACATGCGACAATCTACTTTGTATCGACACTAACATACATGCTTCGAATGTCAATAATAAACTGTATACGTATATTTTAAGGTAAACGTGATGCAGTTATTGAATAAAAGGACGCGTATAAATGGGTAACCCGAAGCCAAAATAAAACGAAAATCAAGAACGTCGAATACCCCATTATCTCCGTATCGACTGCGAAGGCTGAAAACTGATGCAGTCGAAACAATCGTCGTTGAAAAAATGAACTCGGAGCTCGAAGCGATATCAGGCGATCGAAGGTACTTTGCAACAGTGGATACTTTATCCTCGAAAACGATCGTACCATCGAACGCCGGTAGGCGACGCCAGCGAACGCGATCCGTGGCATCACCGCAAGATGGCGGCGATGAACACTGATATTGACAGGTGCTGAGAGAGCATGGCGGCCAGTGTTTACGACAACTGATCGCGGACGATCGAATTTGCGGATGATCCGGGTGTTTCGCGTATCGTTGACGCAATTTTCCCTTCGGCACAGTGTCTCCGTTATCTTTGAATCGTGCGTCGCGTATCCGTTCGTTTTACGTCGAAATAAAGGCAAATGTATAGTAGATTCGGTCGGTGAAACGTGTGCCCCAATCTCGAAAGTTTGGAGTCAGGTGGTGGATTTGTCGTTGATACGGGAAGCTTTAGAAGAAGATCACTGGAATATTGCAGCGCTTGTCGTTATCGTAAGTACCGACTATTACTCAGACATTTATTCTTGGAAAAAACGATGGTCGAAAAGCACGCGAGTACGGAGATCCGATCGTTTAAAATAATATTTCGTAAAATTTGATAAGCAACAGACAGGAGAGGCCATCTTTGAGCTTCCCCGTGTGTTGGTCATGCCGGCGAAAGAGGATCGCGATTACATCGAATCGTGTTACATAAAATGCTGTCGTCGGATGACACATGGGACGCCTTAGATAATCGTTACGCGAGAGGAAGGGCTTCCTTCTTCCTGTCCTTCGGTTGGACACTTGTACGCAAGTCGCATTCAACGTCTACCGAAACGAACATACATTCTACACGTTTTCACACCGAATACGTACCGTAAAAAGGGGTGAACGGAATAGAACCTTCGATCGTTTCCTTTACCGAAAATCGATAGCAAAAGATCCCGACGGTACTGAATTCAATTGTCGTTGCGTTCTTAGGATAAATAAACAAGTTTAACGTTACGATCAAGTCGGCTCTTCCGATGCTGCAAATATTTCTTTCAGGCGATTTCCGCCTACGAGCGTAAAGTTTACTCGTGCCGTTCGTTCTCGAAATCCATGGTGTTCCAGGTGTAACTTGAACGTTGCGTAATCGTAAGAATGTCAAGGAAAAATGTCGATACGCAAATCAAATTACAACGTCGCTTCCAATCGAACGCGTCACGCTGACCGGGTTTTCTACTACGTCAATGAACGAGCGAGACTCTTCTTTCTATCGAACTTGAAGCATCGGCCGTTTAGAGCGATGTACCCTACTTTAAGAGACGTTCCGTCTAAAAATTTCACTCTCGCGTTTGCCAACGTTCGCTTTTTATTATCTTATCATTATCCCGAGCGTTAACGACGCTACCAGTGGCACCGTTTCTGTACAAGGATGCTCGTGGAACGAGCTCGAAACCGTTCGAGCATCGGAATTAACATTCCAACGGTTGCGAAAGAATGGCCATTGAACATAATTAAATTTATCGATCGCTCGTCTGGCTCGTCCGTCGCGCGGCGGTTCTCGGAAAACTCGTTTGCGAATTCGCGTCGCTCTCTCGTACCGACATTCTTTTTTTCTGTCACCTTTTCTGTTTCGCGGGCATCTGTCCACGACAACCTTGGCGAGGAGAGGCGAGCGTCGATGGAACCAACCGCCGTTAGAAACGAGATCCGTTCCTGTAAGCGCGTCGATTATCGGAATCGAAATGATTTCGGATTCGCTTTCGAAAATTTTCGCACCGGACAATATCGTGCGTCGATTTAATAATACCTGAGGAGTACGTCGCGTATCAGTTGGTGCAAGCGTCCGTCGCTAATTCGTAGATTCGATTCACGCCAGAGGCTGAATCGTATGGTTTTTACAGTCCGTGTTACGCAATCTACGTTCGAACGAATTCTCGATCCATTGTCCGCGACGAACGAGACGACTCGTCTCCAAGACGTGCGCAAATTGAATAAAAAGAAGAAAGATGTTACGAATAAAAAATTGGTCCGGGTTCTACTTAAGCCGGTCGGTCGGATGGACGAATTGGCCACAAAGAAGGACCAATAGAATCATGCACGACCAATCCCAGACGGCACCTTGCCTCGTTCCTGCCTATTAAATGAATTTCCTAGCGAGTTGACCCGCGGTTTGCTCTCGCGCTTCCAATTGCAGTGCCGTCAGCCGTCGCGCGTCTACGTCTGCCCGGACGTTTGCGCGACTCGTTCAAAGTTTCCTGCAGCGGATTATCATCGCGAAATCCGCGCTAATTCTTCCGACATTTACCGCGAGAGAATTAAATCGTCGCGTACGGTTACAGATAATACCATTAATTGGATCGTTCGTACGGACCAGTATATCTTCTCGGCGAAGAACTATTCTTCTCCACAATTTCGCGAATTTAATAGAAGGGCCCATTCTGCGCGAAACAGAGCACGAAGGATGTGAATTACATTAAATTTCTGCGCGCATGCATCGAATTAATTATACGCTAGGCTCGAAATGATCTATTGTGTTTTAATGGCCGTGTCACACGCTCCAACCTTGAGCGTAAGTCGAGGGAGTCGACCTCGAACCGGATCCTCGGATCCTTTTTTTCTTTCGAGAAGGGTAGTATGGAATTAAAAGAGCCGGTAGGTCTTGCGTGTCACGGGTGCTCGTTCGGCGCATTTTTCTCGCCCGTTATTCACCCATCGATCCCACTTTTATACGTTTTCGGTCGGCACCGCGTTAAATGGCGCATGCTCCTGGATATTCCGATGCGCATCGGTAATCGAAACTTTTCGTTCATTCGTTAAAGCGAATCGATACGCTTTTCAGGTTTTGCTTATCGGAGACAACATTACGGCGGAGTCTCGTACAAACTGGAAGCACGGAACCAACGCCTACGTTGGATCGCCGTTAGCGGCACTCGTGTTCGCTTCCGGTCACGCGATCGTCACCGAAACAAAAAGTAGGCTAATCGATTTTGCCTCTAAGTCGCGTCGTTCGAAACGCGAAGATTCAACAGTCGCAAGTTGTGCCTGATTTCTAATTTTTCGAGATAAGAAACTCGTTCACGAACGCGACCGTTGTTGTCTCGGCGTCGGCTAGGAGTGCACGGGACGCTTTATTTTCGTACCGAAAACCGGAAGCCTTGGGAACGCACGGCTACCGTTGTCACGGCTCGCTGTTTATCCGTGCCGATAAGCTATCTTATCCGCTAGTCCTGTACCTCTACCTCGCAGCGAGATAAGAAAATTTCGGCATCTTAATGCTCCGCGATCTTTTGTAATATTCCGATACGATAAATCTCGACTAAATTACGAACTCCTCCGGGCACGATCGTAGTTTCATTTACGATCGCAATTACGTTACCGCGCTCTGTATCAACGATTCAATCGTGGCGAGTGATTGTTCGCGCGTAGCTGTTTACCGGATCGAGACAATCTGACTTTTTCTTTTATTTATCGATTATTCTCGGGTGGTTTCGCGATACGTACTCGCCGCGGTACTCGCTGCATTGAAACGGTCGAAAGCACGCGGAGCGACAAACGCACTCGGCGCACTCGAGCTTCCGGTGGAAATAATTTGCCGCGTAGCAGTCGACGGTGTCTCAACCGGATTACCAAGATTGATATCAGTAATTTTACCACGGTAATTAACGCCGCTTCTCGATCGATGTACAAGGATTCGCGAGCGCGTTTCTGTTTTCCAGCCGGGACCCGTGAGATAGGCGAACAATTAATTACCGGTCTCGTTAATCAACGCAACGTTAAGTTTCACGGTCGACCTACCGATATCATCGATCCACTCGGATAGATTTTATTTCTTATACCGCGGTAACGCTAATAGTTACGTCCGCAGAATTCGATATTAATCGTTCGTCTCCTTGGGTCCATTACCGGTTTACGATCGAAATATCAAGATACTCCGTCGATATAGATGTTAGCCATTGGTAGCCGAGGAACGACGAACTCGGCTGACTTTAATTCGCAGAGTTCAACGTTTTCCATATTATCAGGAACATCCTTTTCAGTACGCCGAGCCGCAAATTGGCGTAAAGTGCTCGTACCGGCGTGGCGGTAACGCGTCGTCTTCGTTTCGTTTGTTCCGCCTTCTACGCTCCCGTTGTCGTCTTGGCTTATCCGTGGGTGGTTGGTTCGTACGCGGTGAGTCAACGCGGTCGAGCACTATCGCGAGATTCTTGAAAAATCGAGACGGCAGTGATTGAACGAAATTAGGAATTCTCGGTCGGGCTGATAGTCGATCGGAATCACGATAAACTAACGGGCCGGTGTCGGCGCGTTTTAAGACTGAACTTTAACGAATTTCAATTGATTCGTCTACTCTTCTAGTCGTACCATGCTCGAGCATGTCAACGTGAATCGGGTTTACGACACGGACGTGTCTCCACCGATTTGTCCCGGATCGGAACGTTTCCGTACACCTCCGGCTTGACATCCTCGATTCGAACTAAGACATAGCGGAACGTTAACAACGATCGCGAATATTCAAAGACGCTATATATCTCGAACGATAGGATGTATCGCGAGAAAATCTCATGAAACTTTGGAAACCATTTACATTCGCAACCCTCCGAAAACAACGTGGAACCTTTTTTGAATCGAATCTCTCGGAACGACGGAATAGAAAGAATGAGATCGCGAATGCGCGACAGCGAGTGGCAGACGTCGAAACGACGACGTGAAGCGCAGGATCGATCTCGATCGTCGTTTTTGCGCTCGAGAGCGTGTAAACCTCGGCGCAAGAAGGGAACGAATAAATATTAATCGTCGGTTACGAGGAGACAAAATAGAACGTTAACGAGGTTGTTCGTTGCCAGTCATTTCCATTGCTGATCGGTCAGGACGTTGTCGCGAGTGCCCGCAGCTGTGTC